ATAAAACTGTGAAAACGCATCCGCCACCAACGTAAACAAAGAGTCCCTTCTGTTCCCGATTTGCTGACCAATACATCAAAGAACCATTGTAAATAAACGAAACTAATAGAAATAATATAAAGAAAAGAAAGAAGAAAGAAAATAGATCCAGGGGATATAGACTAGACAATAGTCTAAAACCCTATAAAAGAACAAAGAAGAAGAAGAACCATTGTAAATAGTGGCCTAAGGGAGTGAAGGCCTATCTGCAAAAATCGTCATTAGAAGAAGCAACATTGAAGCCAAAAAAAAATCCTAATTAAGCTGAAGATGGCTATGACGTCGCCTATGGACAGACTACAAGTTCTGGACAACATAGAAAAGGACATTGCTACAGTACTACAGTCGGCCGGTAAGACAAACGCTCACATATCTGCCAATATGTTGCTTTAGGCTTAAACGTTTCAGATGAAGATTTAGGTAATGGCAAAGGTAGTTTATAAGTAATATTGATATAACTGCCTCAGTGCTGGTAAGGAAATTTTGGACAATATGTAGTATAAGGTAGTGGCAGAGTTGGGTAATAAAACCTACATGGAATGATAGAACAATACAAACCAAGACAAAGTTCTTCTATGGCAATATGTGTGCAAATGCTTCCCAAGGGTGCTAGGTATATATATTACCCCGGGGGTCCAGGGCTAGGGAATATATACCACGGTGTTAGGTTATGTTGGATGTTGGGTTAGGTCACCCATTTGTACAAGGAACAATGCCTAGAATCGTTGAAAGAAGTGGATTTCATGCAGAAAAATATCAAACTTGTTTCGAAAGTAACCCATCTTCTTCTTCTTTTACGTATAGCACCCTTGGGAAACATTTGTACACATATTGCCTTAGAAGAACTTTGTCTTGGTTTGTATTGTTCTATCATTTCATGTAGGTTTTATTACCCAACTCTGCCACTACCTTATACTACATGTTGACTGAAATTTGAAACGAATGTACACAGTCAAAGTGATCAAGAAATGTTTAAAGTCTTTTATCCTGTATTATTTCAGCTGCAAACTTCCTGTTAACAATTTCTAATGAACTCTAATTATCAAAGAAATTTCTGAATGTATTCTTTCCTGTCCCTGCAATCCACAAAAACTATTGAATGGAAGTTTAACCCAGTTTATTGTTTATAACTCTCAGATATTGCTCATAGTTCTAAGTAATTTTATGTGTTTAGAGTGCATCTTATGAGTAGATTATTCTCCCACCCATTCTACAGGTCTGGGGAATTTTTTTTACATCCAGTACAACTTAGCTGACCTCTGTCAAATATATTTTTCTATTGATAGATATGCTTTTTCCAGTCATGTGCAAGAATGAAAGTTTATGGAGGTGCTGCAATTATCACATTTGTTTCAAACTGATTTACTTATTTTCAGTTTACTATGGAAATATAGAGGAGACGTGTTGGAGATATCATTAATCTGTCAATTGTGTATACCTTACTTTGAAAGATTAATTATCTTTTGGAGAAAAGTACAGCTAGGTCCAATTGTGATGTTTACACTATTTGACTCCATTCATCCTTATTGTACAAAAAGTATGTATTGGGTTAGGTTAATATTTTTGTGCAGTATAAAGCAAATATTAGGGGAGTATATGAAGAATAGGAGGTTCAGGGAAAGTTGCCTCTTTTTCTTTCAACTTCCCAATTCATAGAAAAGGTGCTTAATCTTTTTAGTAGGGATACACTGAGCTGGGGCGAATTGGAGATGATAATCTTGTAGAAGACAAAAAGTTGAATTTTTCAGTACAAAAAATAATGAGCAGACACCAATAGTAACCCTACAGTTAAAGGAAATAGATTACGGAAAGTGACTGGTGACCCCTCAGTCAAGTTTCTGGCCTTGAAAAATATATAAAAATTAGCGTAAATTTTACACTTTTGTAATATTGCTAATATCAAGATAATGGTCAAAACAAATAAATGTGCCAGGCATCGAATATTATATAGCATTATGATTAAGTTTTGTGGCGAAATAAGTTAACGTTTAAGATAAAAGGACAGAAGAAGTGCATGTAAAAATGAAGGAAAAGGAAAGGAGAAGAAAAGACCAAGCAAAATAGCTGAGGCGAGGACTGAGGCAGAGGTGATCATCTGCACTGGGCCTCAGTCTCTGTCCCCTCTTGACAACAACGAGCAAGGGATTGGGTATAGGTTATTTTTTACTCTCTGTTGTTATATTCCTAATCTCTCTCTCCTTTCAGGTCAAGCTCTGAATGAACTGAGCAAAGATAAACCTGCCAATAAACAAGTTGAAGCCCATGTGAACCAATTCAGACAAACCCTGACCAATGTGGAGACGGAATTGGCGAAGCAAATTAATTACCTGACCCAGGTTTCTACAGGTAAATCATGTAGAATTTCGTTATGTGGGATCACAAAATTTATTGACACTGGGTGCTGTAGTTTTGTATTATGAATTTTGTTTTTGCATAAATGTACTCAGTCACCAAGAAGTCAGTTACATCAGGCCAATGTGACATCACTTGAGTTCTCTATTTTTATATATATATATATATATATATATATATATATATATATATATATATATATATATATATATATAATTTCATTACTGTTATTATTATTGTTATTGACATTATGACTATTATAATGTTGAAATACTAATAGCAATAGAAAAAAAAAAAACCTGAAAATCAGGGAAAAGGGTAATTAGGTGAGATAAATAGGACTGATTATTGACTCGTTGGTAAGTAAGCTGTTGTGGAGCCATCTGATGTGTAAACAAAATTGATAATTTAAAATCACGAGGGCATGTATGTACATGTTATCCTGGCTGCAGTGGATTAAAAGACATAGAGTTTGAATAGCAAGTTTATACGGACTATTTTATATATATTTGGACATTTAGACCAGTAGTTACCTTTTTGTGAATTAATTTCATAATTTGGATTTAATACAAATTTTGATTTTGAGTTGGATATTCATAGCTTTAACTTACTGTTACATTCAAACAAAGTGAATACTTCCAAGATTCATAAACTATGTGTTAGTTGATAGCCATAAGACATTCCCTATATTAAAAAAAGGATTGTTTTGTTTACATATAATGATGTATGATATATGCAGTCATGCCAGTCAATATGCTTGTCAGTCATTCAGTACACACTGTGACTTATTATTGTAATTTTACTAGTAGATAATTTCTCTAAATTACTAATATTTTTTTCTCTTTCTTTCAGGACAGGCACATGAAGGCTCCTCCTATAATTCCCAGAAAACCCTCCAGATGGCTATGCACCGACTGGACCATGCCAAGACCCGTGTCAATGAGCTAGAGGCCACAAAGACCAAACACATGCAACTAATGCAACAACACCAGATGCAAAGACAGCAGGGCATGCAACAGCCCCCTCCGTCAATGTGATGTCCATCCAGTTTGTGATAGATGTACACAGAATTTTCTATGTGTTGAGTAAAGAACTGTCAAATGTATTTGATATGATATTTTTCTTTCTTTTTTTTATAATCATTAGGGTGAATTACATAGTTTGGCCATTTTAGGCAGATGTTCACATTTATGAAGAAGTAATAAAGAATAGAATAGAAATAAGAATATGAACTTTGATTTCTTGACCTAATTTGATATACTGCTTTGGACAAATGTGTATGTTTCCAGTCAATACAGTGATGATAAGCTAAAGACCAATTTTTTTTTTTTTCAGAGTAAGTATAAAGATCATTTATCCCTTGGATGGATTTCATACATGTTGCAATTACTGTAATTTTAAATAAAATCAAATACTCATGATAGACTTGTAATTATATTATATGAAAGTTTCAGAAGCTTTCAGTGAAGATTATATTCAGATTTTATGTGTATTATACTATTTACAAATAAGTATGACATACAGCTTTATAAGAAGGCCTTAAAGTTTCTGCTCAATGAACCACAAAATGAAGCTGTTATAATAGTAATTTTTGTTGCAAACATAATTGTAAATATATTTTAACCCAAATGGCAGGGATGGCAATAATACATGCCATACCCACTGTAATAGGAGGTAATTTATTGTGTTTACACAGATGGCTCTACAAGTACTTAGTCAGCAATGAGCCAGTTATTAGTCCTACCTATCTCACCTGTTTACCCTTCCTTGTGTGTGTGTGTGTGTGTGTGTGTGTGTGTGTGTGTGTGTGTGTGTGTGTGTGTGTGTGTGTGTGTGTGTGTGTGTGTGTGTGTGTGTGTGTGTGTGTGTGTGTGTGTGTGTGTGTGTGTGTGTGTGTGTGTGTGTGTGTGTGTGTGTGTGTGTGTGTGTGTGTGTGTGTGTGTGTGTGTGTGTGTGTGTGTGTGTGTGTGTGTGTGTGTGTGTGTGTGTGTGTGTGTGTGTGTGTGTGTGTGTGTGTGTGTGTGTGTGTGTGTGTGTGTGTGTGTGTGTGTGTGTGTGTGTGTGTGTGTGTGTGTGTGTGTGTGTGTGTGTGTGTGTGTGTGTGTGTGTGTGTGTGTGTGTGTGTGTGTGTGTGTGTGTGTGTGTGTGTGTGTGTGTGTGTGTGTGTGTGTGTGTGTGTGTGTGTGTGTGTGTGTGTGTGTGTGTGTGTGTGTGTGTGTGTGTGTGTGTGTGTGTGTGTGTGTGTGTGTGTGTGTGTGTGTGTGTGTGTGTGTGTGTGTGTGTGTGTGTGTGTGTGTGTGTGTGTGTGTGTGTGTGTGTGTGTGTGTGTGTGTGTGTGTGTGTGTGTGTGTGTGTGTGTGTGTGTGTGTGTGTGTGTGTGTGTGTGTGTGTGTGTGTGTGTGTGTGTGTGTGTGTGTGTGTGTGTGTGTGTGTGTGTGTGTGTGTGTGTGTGTGTGTGTGTGTGTGTGTGTGTGTGTGTGTGTGTGTGTGTGTGTGTGTGTGTGTGTGTGTGTGTGTGTGTGTGTGTGTGTGTGTGTGTGTGTGTGTGTGTGTGTGTGTGTGTGTGTGTGTGTGTGTGTGTGTGTGTGTGTGTGTGTGTGTGTGTGTGT